ATCCTGTGTCTGTGGGTTCTCTCCGGGTTCTCCGGCTTCCTCCCACCGTCCAAAAACCTGCATTTTAGGTTGTTGGACTCCAAACTACCCTTAGTGTGAGCGTGTGTGGTTGTTGGTCCTTGTGTGTCTCTGTGTGTCCCTGTGATGGACTGGGGACCGTCCAGGGTGACCCCGCCTCTCCCCATTGGCTACTGGGATAGGCTCCGCCCCCCCGACCCCATTGGGGAATAAGAGGCTACCATAATGGATGTATGGATGTTTCGGGCTGAATCTGTGTTTCTTTGTGGCTTCGTTCCAGCTCCACTTTCGGAAATCCAGGAACATTGTTGTTCCAGAGAACGGGACAAACACACAACCAGGCCACAAACACACACCAGAACCCAAAAAGAAGAAAAGGAAAGGAAAGAAAAGAAAAGAACAGCCCCCCCCCTTCCCGCCCGGAGCAGACGGCCTGCGTTCCGTCAAGGCCTCCAAAAATTCCTCGACTTTCCCAGAATTCCCTCTCGGAGCCAAGCCGTAGATTCTGTTTGTCGTCCGCGAAGGCCCTGAAAATACTGAACCTTTCTCTTTTCTTTTTTTTTTACACCTATTTTAATTGTTGTTAGAACAGATGCATGATGTCATACAGGCTGTGATGTTTTAAAATTTAAAAGGATTTCAGAGTATTTTAACAATTTAACAATACATTTTTATATTTTCATAAACCCCTCCGACCCTAACAATCCCTGTGCCGGCAAAATAAAAAAATGAATAAATAAATACATAAATAAATAAATAAATAAATAAAATAAAAATGCAAATAAATTAAATACAAATACAAATAAATAAAATAAAAATAAAAATGCAAATAAATCAAATTAAAATACTAATACATAAAATAAAAATAAATAAATAAAATGAATAATTATGACAAATAACATTAATAAGTAATAAAATAAAAAATACAATGAAACTTTTTTTTTAATGATCCCAAAATGAAAGTACTTTACGTTGAAGCTTGTTTAATATTGGCCGTTTTTATCAGCCGTTATTGCGTCACGTGCTGTTAAACGGTGCTGTGAAACTCCAAACCTCTGAATTTGGCCGGCGGGTCGCTGCTAAACGCAGTTTTGGGGGTTTGGCTGTTGGCTCTGAGGCAGGCCCCTAAAACCGAGGGGAGAGGAAACCGCCCTGCCGGGAAACATGTGAATGAAGACGGGCCTGCTGGGTTTCTGTTTCTTTTCTTTAGCAAACAGCAGATTCGATTGGCTGCTGAATTAAAGCTGAATCAAATCGTGGTAAATAGAGGAAAAAATGGACTGCACAGAGAGATTTGTCCTCTTCCTTGAACTTTTTTTCTTTCTTTTAAAAAAAAAAAAAGGAAAAAAAATTACGGGAAATATTAAATTTTTTCTCTCCAACGTTAAACTGCGGCTAATTGCTTAAACATTTCCTCTGCAGATCCGCATGTGGACGGCAGCCAGGAGACAGGCCTCTGGCCCTCGTACAGCCCCATTTGAAAATGTCCTACTTACCTCACTCGGAGGTGTTGCCTAATCACATCCACCGCCCGAGGAGCCGTAAAGAGAGCGGTCCCCGGTGGGGTTAGCTGTTTAAAGCATCACAGGCTCCTTCATTTCACGGTTTGTTTGTTTCTTTGGGGGCTTTTTGGATCCCCAAACTGGGCCGGAGGTGCCCCATGAAGCCCATCAAAACAGAAAGTGTCAGAACTGTTGTGGTCTTTGGCTCCAAAATGATGGTTGTTGGTAATCTAAATGGACCCGGGACACAGTTCTGAGCATGTGAGGGTTTTATTTTATGAGTTTGTCTTTGTATAGACCAAAAGAGGCTGAGATGAAGCTGCGATTGGCAACAAACTGAAATATAATCAGAACCAGGCTGGCTTTGAGCTCATCAACAACATCAGACAATATAACAAGCTAATGTTATCTATTTTTATTTTATTATATTTGTATATATATATGTATATATTTCTATTCATTTATATATTTATATGTATATTAATATTATTTATATTTATTATATTATGTTACTCTATTTTTGTGTTTTTCTATGTTTTTTTATGTTGTCTATTATTATTTCATTATATTTATATCATATTTTCATTATATTTATTACATATAATTATATATATAACATAATGAAATATATGTATATATTTATTTATTTATTTAATTTTTAAAAAATATTTATGTATATATATATTTTTATTTATTTATAATTTATTATGTTTACTATAGAATGTTACTCTATTTTTGTGTTTTTTTACTGCATAGAACGAATTGTTCTATGTAGTAATCCCTCTCTCTGATCAGGATTTAAAATCTAAAATGGAGATAAACCATCATTGCATCATCTTGTCCCTGGCCATTGGCTATCGACCCCTAAGATGCAACCAGAAAATGATCCATTTCTGGTCCTTCTCCTGGCAAAAACTGAAGAGTACCCAGTCAGGTTCAGACCCAGATCCCATCCCCTCAGCTGAACCTCAGCCTCCAGGTCCTGGACCGGATCTGGACCCCCCCCCCCCCCCCCTTTCCTCGGAGGCATTGCCTCAGATTTGTAGTTTCTGTTTCCACAGCCGCGCTCACGCTGCTCCAGGAATTTCTGCTCCGGTTTACGAGGCCGAGCGGCGGACCGGAGATGTCAGACTCTGCTTATTTTGTGAGGGGACACCAACCATCTGTGTGTGTCTGTGTGTGTGTGTGTGTGTGTGTGTGTGTGTGTGTGTGTGTGTGTGTGTCTAATATAACTTCTAAGACTAACTAAGTTCCTTCTCTTTCCTGTTTCTTTAGTGAAAACACACCGGAAACAGCATTTGGTATCTCTAAATAATCATAACCTTCCTAAAGTGGTGCCATTTAAGTGTTTCAGATCAATCTGAAGACCTGAAATTTAAAAAAACAGACAAAAATCTTCGTCAAAACAATGACAATATAGTCTTATTGGAAAAAAACTGTTTTTCAGATCAATCTAAAGACCTGAAATTTAAAAAAAAAAAAAAAAATCTTTATCAAAACAATGACAATTTGGGCTTATTGGAAAAAACTGTTTCAGATCAATCTGAACACCTGAAATTAAAAAAAAAACAACACAAAAATCTTCGTCAAAACAATGACAATTTAGGCCGATTGGACTCTAAAACAGTGGACGATGTTGGAAAAGAAGGAAAAGAATTACAAGTATGTTTTTTTTTCTTGTAAAGTTCATAAAATCCCATTGTGATTGTTGTATTCTGTAGATTTTAAAGTCCCCTGCTGCTTTTCTCCTTTCGGTCCACCTCTCGTTTCCATGGCAAATAAGTGGAAACCTTAACCAATTAGCCAGAGACGCCCCCCCCCCCTCAGAAACCTCCTAAAAGCCGGGGCAGGTTTGTGAACCTGCCTGTCTGCACACTGAGGGCCCCTCAGGGGAGACCTGGGATGGGAGGGCTGGTCCCTCTGGGTGTGTGTGTGTGTATGTGTGTGTGTGTGTGTGTGTGTGTGTGTGTTTGTGTGTGTGTGTGTGTGTGTGTGTGTGGGTCATCCCTCTCGCGGCAGGAATGCGGCCCTTCCGTCCCCCGGCTGGGCGCCCGGGGGCGGGGGGAATCGGGAAACCCCCGGCCGGGAAAGGGGGGAATTTCTGCTTTTGGGTTTTTTTTTTTTCTTGTTTTTTTCCTTTCCCTCTCCTCAACCCCCTTTCTCTCTTTACTTTGGACGCCTCCGAGCAGCCGGGGCTCTGGAGTTTTCTCTTGTTTCTGAACGCGGCCCAACAATAACAGCCTCCCATAAACAAAGGGGGCCTGTTGATTGGAGAGTGGCCGTTCGCCGTGGCCCTAAAAACCCCAAAAGTACAGGCTAGCTGCCCGGAGGACCGCGAGTGATTTAAGGGCGAGTTTGAGAACGCGCCATCTCCCAAGGACCGTAAACACACGCTGTAGTTCTTTCTTAATCCTCCTTTTTCCCCCCAGAAGGACTTCGGTGGACTGAACTCTGAAAGGGGGGGATGCTGGTCAGTGTCAGGAAACCGCAAAGTACAGAGAAAGCTCTCGGCTTTTGGAAGGGAGTCTGGATCCCGTGGGGGGGGTTTTAGAACAAGTTGATGGTGGATCCGTCCCCTGGGTTAGGGTTAGGGTTAGGGTGGATGACCCTAACCCTAACCCCTCAAAATAACATGTCAAAACGGCGTTCTCCTGAATGGCACATAAATAAACGTCTGCTTTTTATTAGGAACGGTCCCGCAGAGGTAGAAGCTTGTTTTTTTTGTTTTTTTCCACCCTGAAAAGTCCAGCTTCTTGTTGAAGAGGGTCAGTGCGCCCCCGTGTGGACACCGGCCAAACTGCAGGCGGCTGCAGCAGAAACCACGTTTCCACCCATAAAAAGGCTTTAAAGGAAACCACATTGGGGTTTTTTAAGGTTTAAGCATTTAATTTAGGACGAAAGGCATCAAAAACAATCAACATAAACACTCTCTTTACATTATTCACACAGTGAAAACGTTCGCTCAAAGTCTCATCAGCATCGGCGTCCGGGCCGTCTTTACTTGTCCGAAGGTTTGAAGGGGTCAGACCATACCTTCACACCTTCAAATACACAGAAAAATACAGAGCAAGTTGGTTTAATTTATTTCACAGACGGAAAAAAAAAATCAAAATTTAAATCTAAGTTTTTAGGTGGATTCAGGTCAAGCTGACAATCCAGGATTCAATTCAGTAAGGATACAAATGTGTTAAATGCAGTTAAAAATTTTACTTTAATCACTTCTAGTGATATTAAACATTTTAAGAAGTAGGTTCTCTGTATATAAGAAAAAAAAAGAAGAAAAATTCACATACTGGCAAGTTCAGAGCATAAGAAAAATTAGATTCATGAAAAGAATTTAAAGAAGATGAGAAAGATAAATTAATTCCTACTAAATGAGTTTCTGTTTTCCACCTTGCTGTCAAAAATAGTTCATATCGGCTGTCCAGAAATAATCAAATTTCCAGTGATCTTTTTTTCTAGATAGTGCACAATGATAATATGTGTTATTGTTTTGGCTTATTTACATCTGCACAACCAAACAGGTTGATGGAAAACATCAAAAAGGAAATAACCTAAAGAAAACTTAGACCAAAGTTACAAGACAATCAATTTACAAGAAAAATAAAGAGCAAAATGAAGCATTTAAAGGGGCTCTAATCCACAGAAACAGCAACGTTTTCCCTCCTTCTTTCTCACATATTCGGACAGAGAGACGTCAGGAAGACGCTGATGTGCTTTGGGCCTCTCTGGCCTGGACGTTAATCCTGTTTTTAACCCGATCAGAGCCCAGATCACAGCATCACCCCCCTCTTACCCACTGGCTGCACATCTGCCTGGTTGATCCCCGCTCGGTTCATCTTCTGGACACTTCCTGTAAAAGAAAACAGCACAGGTCAACCAAATGCGAACCTTCCAGGTGGTTGATAACACCTTCATTTCTTTATTAGTCTCTACCCTACAAATACAACAGGATGAAACATCTCAATATGAATAATATAACCTGGAAACAAAGTTTTAAAGTGTGTTTAGGTCTTCATGCTTAAATTAGTGCTGAATGGTTTCAAAGGTTAGAAATCAGAAACGTGAAGACAATTTTGATTTAATTTAACTTCTGCTTGCTGATGAAGTTTAACTGCTTGTTTTGGTGACACAACACCCAAATTAAGTTAAAAAAACTGAGAGAAAAAGCCTAAAACTCGGAGTTATCCTTTAGCCTGCTAGCTAATGTTGTAAAGATCGTTTAAACTAAGCTAACATAGCCAAAAATATTATCTATTATGGAAAATAAGACTATATTTAGCTTAACTGATACTGTATAAATCATAAAACAAACTCATTTAGACTTTTTGACAGACATTAGAGTGTTTTTATGACACCATGGACGGGTTGTGTAAGTGGGAAATAGCCGCTAGCAACTTACGGTACTCGTCTCTGTGCGTCAGAGGATAAACAAAAATGGGGTAAAAGGCGGCGGCCACGGCCGTTATAAAGCCTCCGAACACCAGCGCTATTCTCGTGTTTTTGGACATTTCTGGGTTGCATCTGCACGGAGGCTCTCACCTCCAAGGGCTCCTCCGTGTTTAGCGGAGATTGTTTCCGGCGTGAAAGGTCACGTTTCACCGCACGCGAAGTTTGGTCAGCGCGGGCTTCCGTAGGCTGACGTCAGAGTCACGTGTGCCGCCACAAAATCACAACAAGGAAGTCCGAGGGAGGGTTTGGGAGCAGTTTGATGTTTCCAGAGCGGAAGAAATGAGGTTTTTGGCTGTTTTCGCGGCTTTGTCCTGCTGTTTTGCGGCTCCGGAAGAGCCCATTCAAGCCTTTGTGATTCCTCACAGTCACATGGATGTAGGCTGGGTGTACACCGTCCAGGCAAGTGTTTATTTATTTATTTATTTATTTATTTATTTATTTATTTATTTATTT